ACTTTCGAGCAGAGCCGCAACCATATCCGCGCTACCGCGGGATGCCGCCATGTTTGTTTGGGTTGCTCAACGAGGTGCATTGCTATTGGTTGAGCGAATGCGCCGATAGCAAGCTTTTATTGGCTGTTGACTGCGGTCGGCCGCGTTGCAACGCAACTGTGCGCACAAGCTTCGCGTGTACGCGCTGCGCAACGCAACGCTTCCGCTTGCCGCTACGGAACGCACCGCGCTCAAACGCGAATGTGCGTATGGGCCTTAAGAGCCGCGCTCTAAAACACAAGTAAATTGCACGGACGATCGAAGAAACTATATAGTTTATCGTTTTACGGCGTAAATTGTGTACATTGCCAGAACAACGCGGAAAATATATTCTTAATTTAGCAGTTCAAACCGGCTCGAACCGGTTTGAACCGTTATTTTTTGCTCCCCGGAACTGAACCGGAACCGAACCGAAAGCCGTGAACCCGAACCGGAACCGAACCGATAAAAATTTCGGTTCGACACTCTGATAATAAGTGTTGTGTCAAGTTACTGTCGTGTTCAAGCACCTGTGTGCCCAAATCAGCACTTCGCAGAGCCCGGTTATAACACATTTTGTGTCCAATATTGGATATACTGTACAGCTTCATTCAATTCAAAGATAACTTTCACACCTGCTGTCTTAATGAAACTTGGCACACTTAGTGCACAAACTTAGTGAACATCTCACTCGCCTCCAAATATCATCATCCCAGTAGTCCCACGTTTACAGCGACAAGCCCAACAAATTTCCCACTGAGGGCAATTGTTGTGGCGGCCACCTTGGTTTTCAGAAAATTGCTCTAACCCCTTGTTCGACCGCAACTAGAGAAATGACCCATATTAATAACTCAAACCCAATATATAAAGCGGAGAACAGCTAGATGCCCTTCTTAGGTCTGCCCCAGCCCTCATGCAACGTCACCCTTAACGTATCGCCTCAAAAAGCAAAAGTTCCGTCCGTGGGCGCTTCCACCACCACAGTTTCGCAAGCAAAAAGTCGCCGCAGGCTGCTGAACGCGCCTCACTGTCGAACGCCAGCTCCTCCGCCAGCGGCGCTACGCGCGTTTTTCAAAGCGCCCCCTATAGACCGACACGCGGAGCGGCTCTGTTTACCAACACGGCCGGAAGGCTGCGCATGCGCGGTAGCTATGTGGGCAAAAGCAGCCCGACTCTTCGTGTTTTCGCCATTGCGTTCTATGGCGTGCGCTCGTTGTTGACGCAAAGACGCTTGTATCTTTATTTGTGCGTCGTATTTCCTCACGAGGTATGTCGTATGCTATGCCCGACTATTTGAGCTCGTGGCCCGAGCCTGAACGGCAGAGGTATGAAAACAAACTCTGCGTGGACGGCGTTGCCTACGAGGATCCGTACGCCGTAAACAAGGCCTGTTGGACTTCCGACGTAAAGTTGCTGCCACGGAAGACGACGGCTCACGTCGCCGTGTATTTAGTTTTTTTGCCAAGCCAGTTCACGGCCGACACGGTGCCGGCGTACAAGTCTCTCGAGGTCTACGATTACTTCGAGTCGGTTTCCGCACTGTCGGCGGGATCACCAGACTCTGGGTCTGCAGAAGTGTGTGTATTCATTAATTGATCAAATACACACAGCGTCTTCAAGCCAAGGTATGATATTTTTCCTACTCTCATGACCACAAGGCATGACAAGAAGTAATGGTTTGTCCGTTCTGCAGTCTTGGCGGTAACAGGTTACAAGTAACGGCGTTGTTGGTAACGCGTTACTTTTTTTCAATAACGTAGTAACCTACTCGTTATGTTTTCGACACAGTAACGGGTAACGCACTTATGTTACTGGGGAATTGTAGTAGACCGTTTCCGCAGCCCGCTAAGCATCCGTATAGCGCTCCGTAATCCGCCACAAGACCTTGACTATGCAGACAAGGCTGGCGGCGCGCAGGCGCAGCTGCGGCGTTTTCTTCAGGGATACCGTAGCGGAGGAGAAAAACGGTCTACTACAATTCCCTACTATTTCAAGTAACGTAGTTACGTTAGTCGTTACTACTTCCCAAGTCTTAAAGAAATTACACCAATTTTTTCTGTGTTTTAGGCGTCACGCAATGTTTTTCTTTGAGTTTTTTCTTGTAATTAGGTGAAACCGAAAAAAGAGATAAAGTAATTATGTTCAGTTTCTGCATGAACATAATGTTTCTTGATAAATAACCTGTATCGTCAAAACCGTAAAATGTGTTAAATTATGACTTAAAGGGAAGCTACGGAGCTTCTTGGAAAAAATGAGTTAGAAGTGAATTCTAGTGTATTTTTACCCCGTGAACCCGAATACCCAAACCATTTGCTTCGTAAGTATTGTTAAACGCGAGAAAAACGCGAAAGACAGTCGCTGTCCGTGACGTCATTGACGGATCTTTTGGCTGCCCAAGGCTAGGGGGGCGGGGTTTCAGTCCTATTTTGAAATTGCTCTTGTGGCTCTCCGGCGCGTCGCATTGAAATATAATTTTGATATCTGTTATTCTAAAGGCCAAATGAACGCAATTCAAGCGTTTTTTCTCAAATGTAGAAGTGCCCCATCTTCCCTTTAAAAAAGTAACGCAGAAGTAACGTACGTTACTTTTTATCGGTAGCGGTAACGCGTTTCTTTTATTTGTAGTTAACGTAGCTCAGTAACGCATAAATTTTATTTGCAAGTAACAAGTAACGTATTTCGTTACTTTTTTTCGGTAACGCCTACAACACTGCCGTTCTGTCGCCGATCCCCTTCTGCTGGGTAGCACGGGCGTATCGAGCCTCCGACGAGCGCTTGGCCGGTGCTTTGTGCGCGAACACCATGGGAACAAAATCCGGGTGGTCTTGATCAGACAATGGTTTCCCCGCACATAAGCAAGCCTCGGGACGGAGATTGAAATGGAAGCCGCACCTGCCTTCAAGAAAGTGTTGGCCGCACAAACGGTCGTTCGCGCTTGGTGCCTTTTGCTTAGTGTGAGCTCGCCCATTCGATGCTCATTGAAATCGAAACGGGCTCATGCGTGGATCGAATACAGAATCACTGACTTTGCAGCGCTAGCCCTTTCTACGTGTTCTGAGCTGTTGGAAGTAATCTTATGACTATGCCTACAGTGTAATTTTTCATTTGTCAAAATTTACGCTGAACTGCACATCGGCTCACTGAAAATTTCCTTTCATATCTTTTGAACCAAGTAATGTCGTGTTCTTAAACTTTTGCATTTTGTACAGTCAGCTAGCGTCAGGTTATGGCGAAGGAGTATCAGCATTCTGCGATGCATCACCACTTAAGACCAGGAAGCCGTTTTAGGATATGGAAACCTGTAGGCCAGTCAGAGATTTTTGTGAAGTGTTCTCTGGTTCTACTTGTACATACCTTACGTTAAGTGTGTTGACAGTGATGCCTATAACTTTCCTTTCATTCTTTTGTCGCACAAGGTATACCATCCTCGGTATAAAACAGATGTGGACCTCATGGAGGGCACCATCCTCAAGGATGCAGCGCTGGTAACCATTTCTTTGGATGGGTCACAGTTCAGGTGGGTAAAAATGCTTGCAAAGACTGAAGCAGTCAGGCATGTGTGCTTCATGTTCTGTTATCAGGACTGACAACAACGATGCCTCTGCAAGAAAATGTTCCAAGACTGTCTGTGCAGCATAGTTGGGCTCAACTTGTCTTTGACATCATGTATACATGCCTTGCAAGTGACATCACGCTAGGGAAGGACGGAGCTTCGCACCATACTGGTGGTTGACTTCACACCGCGCAGATGCGCTTACCAAGGCGTAGGATGCCGCTAACGGTGCGGACATGCGCTGACATGCACTATATTTTCAACAAAGGTACCGTGAACTTAGGAAAACGTGCCAAGCTTACGATGATGACATCTATCCAGTACGTGCAGAACTTTTCGACATTGGTGCGATTGCGCTACGAGCAGAAAGTTTCGAAATGCCGCCTACAAAGTTTTGACGCGAAGGGCTGCCATGTCGCCAAAAAAAGAACAAAGCTTCATTGCGCGCTTCATTATTTGACTAGCGGCTCTAGGAATCGCTTGTATAAAAATTTTTACGATTTTGTGGAGTATTGGTAAATAACGCAATGTTACCACCATAATCTTAACCCTGAGACAAGGATAACTCAAACAACGGACATGGCAACTGTCATTGTCTTAGGGTTTATACTATGATGTTTCCCAGCCGGCTCGCGTGCATACTTTCGCTGCTTGCACAGGTTACTGGCTCGCGGGCGGCACAAGCCAATGACCCGGCGGCGGCGGCTCAGCGAGCTTGCTCACGCAGGGGCCGCCGCCGACCGATTGCCGTCGGCACGGGCTCGCGGTGCGACATTCGGCCGGGAACCCCGAAGGTGCGCTCGAAGCGTGGAAACCGCGTTATTTAACGAAGGTCAACGACCATATACACCACGAACGAGCAAAAGCCGATGCAAAGGCGTGCGCGAACGTAAACAACGCTAGAAAAGTATGAAATGCGTCCCGCAAACTCAATAATCTGCGGCCGCATCCCTTTCCTGCCGCTCGTACTTTCAACTTGACGGCTACTCTGTCTCGCGGGGCATGCCGACGAAACGATCGGACGATCGTCGGGATACGGGGTAAATTGCTACAGCCGAGCGCGCCGCATTTTACCATTGCTCTCGCTGCGAAGGGCCGTCGAGTCAACCACCAGCATGGTAGATACCGGTGTTCGACGTCATCATGTGCCGTAGGTGCAAGGCAGGTATAGATGCTGGCTTTTAGCAGTTGAAACCTAGTCTTCTAGGTAGAAACAATGCAGCTATAATTGTTTCTGCAGTTTTGTGTTTCCCTTTGGGATAAAAGATACCATATGCACATTTCTGTGTGAACAAGTTATGACCTAAAATTTGGTGCCTGTACTTAAAAACAAATTTAAATCACGGGCATTCTTATATTCAAAATTGTTCAGTATGTCTTTTTTTTTTTTTACTGAAGCGAATATGTTTTATTTTATATATCTAGAATCATGGATGTCGTCGTTCGAGAGGACTCTGCACCATCGAAAGCTCCATCGGAATACAGGTTTCCAAAAGCGCCATTGGACATCGCGCAGGCATTACAAAAACACACGAGGGGGCAGTACCTGCCTTGCCGATCGAGGATCATTCAATGGCTCTTCCACGATCTGTGCCTCTATGACCTGTAAGTTAAAGTTTGAACTGAACGAACTCCTAATTTTTAATGGCTCAAATGAGCACATGTGCATAATTTTGTTTGTTCTTTTTATTCTTTAGGCAGCTCTTTGACAAATCAATACAAATACAATCTTCATATTTTGGCTCTCTGGCAGGAAACATTGGGCATGCTTCTTTCTTCATCATAAATGGTGATTAATGCTACAATTCATTGATTTTTCCAATTGATGGCTCTATGTCTCTCCTTTACTTTTGCAGGTACCCGGATAAGCTCTATGCCGAGGCCGCAAGGTTGGTTGGTTTTGGGGTTTTTTGGCGCAGCAGCATCGGGGCCATAGTGCGCCAGAAACATTGTGTAAAGGAAGCCTACATTCTTTAAGGACTGACTAAAGCCTCAAAGCAGACCTTACTAGGAACTAGACTTATAATTTCCGCAGAATATTAGTTTCTTCCAAAAAATTGAAAACTTGTGAGACTGGGACAAGAGGCTCGTCACCCAGTAAAAGTGCCAAGTGAAATGGTACATGTTCCCGATAGAATATAGAAAAACAGGTTCGACGGTTCTCTTCAAAGTGTGGACAAACTATCAAAATGTGAAGTATACTTAATGGTTCAGAACAGAAGTCACAGGTCGGTTCACTCTCCCTACGCAAGAGGTAGCCATGGGTAAGGTGGGTATGTCCTATTCTCAATCGGCATAAAACTATCTCATAAAAACGCTCTCGGTGTCTGGCACTGCGCCACTCGCTCAGGATGGGCTTAATCATATGGAGTTTGTTTTGCAGCTGGGAATCCCATTCCCTCTGCCAGGCATATTTTATTTGCCTTTTTAGTGGTACTCGGTAATCAGTAGCAGGGATGCTGTTATGGTCAACTGTAATATCTACACACGCAGAAGCTGCACGGTCAGCTAGCTCATTGCCTTCAATGCCAATATGGCCAGGGACCCAGCAGAATTCTATCTGTATTTTCTTTGCCAGTGCTTGTGTTAGTGTATTACAAAGTTGCACAAGCAGAGGGTGCTTCCAAGATGTTGGAGAGTTGAGTGCTTTCAGTGAGCTCAGAGAGTCGGAGAAAATGACAGACTTTATATATTGATGTCTGACAATGTGGTCAACTGCAGTTATCAGACCATAAAGCTCAGCAGTAAAAATTGAAGCATTTTTGTTTAACCTTTTTACAGATCTGTAGCCCTCGCCGATAGCAGCACAGCCAACGTAGTCTGTGGTTTTTGATCCATCAGTAAAGAAGTGCTTGTAGCCATTGTACGAGGTACACAGCTCTAGGAATTCTTGCCTGAGAACACTAGGGTCAACTGTATCTTTTTTGTGCTTGGTCAAAGAAAGATTACAACAAGTATTGGCAACTTTCCAGGGTGCAGTTCTTTGTTGAATTTCAAGGACAGGAGAGAGAGTATCAAAATTGTATTGTTCTGTAGCAATTCTTACACGTAGTGCAAAGGGAGGGGTTATAGATGGTTTGTGCTGAAATAAGCGCTCATAGTTTATATTTTTAATTATTTCAAAAGCAGGATTTTGCGGAAAAGAACGGAGTCTTAGAAAGTACTCAACAGCGAGAAAAAGTCTACGTCTCTCGAGCGAGCACTCATGCGATTCAGCGTACAGGCTAAGTACCGGCGACGTACGGAATGCCCCCGTTGCCAAACGGATCCCCTGGTGGTGAATAGGATCAAGCATCTTGAGGGTGGATGGTTTCGCAGATCCGTAAACAAGGCTTCCATAATCCAGGGTAGAGCGCACTACAGCCCTGTAAATTCGTAAAAGACATACCCTGTCCGCGCCCCAGGTGCGATGTGAAAGAACTTTTAAAATGTTTAGTTTCTGCTGGCATTTCAGTTTCAGTGCCTTGATATGGGGGCCGAAAGTAAGCTTGCTGTCAAACGTCACACCGAGGAACCTGTGTTCCGGTCGGACGGGAAGGGATGTGCCATTTATGTGAAGCGATGGTTCGGGAAACATTCCCCTTCTCCGGGAGAAGCAAACAGCCTCGGTCTTCTCAGCAGAAAACTTGAAACCGTTCTCATCAGCCCATTTACTCATTTTATTAATGGTTACTTGGATTTGGCGCTCACAGATAGCTAAATTACATGACGAAAAGCAGACCTGGACGTCATCAACATAAAGCGAGTAGGAGACCGAAGGTGGTATTGCTCGGGACAAAGAGTTGATTTTAATAAGAAAGAGGGTAACGCTCAGGACACATCCTTGTGGGACTCCATTCTCCTGGATGAAACATGTCGAAAGGGTTGTTCCCAATCGCACCTGAAAGGTGCGATCCCGCAAAAAGTCTGCGATGCAATTAAACATATTCCCGCCAATATTCATCTTGATAAGGTCTTGAAGGATACCGTACCGCCAAGTGGTATCGTAAGCCTTTTCAAGGTCAAAAAATACTGAAAGGCAGAACTGCCTGTTTATAAAGGCCTCTCGGATGGCCGTTTCCAATCGTACGAGGTGGTCGGCAGTGGACCTGGCGGCACGAAAGCCACACTGTAAATTGCTTAAAAGCGAGTTCCGTTCAAGAATGAAGATAAGCCTATTGTTAACCAGCCGCTCGAATGTCTTTCCCAGGCAGCTAGTCAGGGCTATAGGCCTATAGCTGGAGGCTTTACTTCTGTCTTTTCCCGGTTTGAAGATAGGGATGACAATAGCCTTTTTCCACACGCTCGGCAGCTTCCCCTCTGCCCACACTCTATTGAAAAACTGGAGGAGAATGACGAGGAATGCTTCAGGCAGATGGGAAATCATAGTGTAATGAATGTCATCAACCCCGGGAGATGTTGCTTTTGCTGTGGCAATGACTCGACGCAGCTCAGTAAAAGGCCGGTCATATTCTTCGGCACAGCTATCAGATCGGCGGATTAGGACTTTCTCAGCTTTGGTTTTAAAGCGTAAAAACTTTTCCGTATAATTCTTAGAGCTGGAGACCTGCGCAAAATGTCTACCCAGTGCATCAGCCTGTTCCTGCAAAGATGAAAACGCCTCTCCATCGTCATCTGATAGCAGGGGGATTGAAAAGTGGGCGTAATCACCATCCATTCGCCTTACCCTGTCCCATACAATTTTGGCTGGAGCAAAACTATTAATGGAGGAAGTATACGAGTGAAAGGAACGGCGTTTCGCTTGTCTCCTGACGGGTCGGGCTTCTGCTCGCAGGCGCTTGAATGCGAGAAGGTTTGTGGGGGTGGGATACCGCCGGAACTTTGCCCAAGCGCAATTCTGGCGATTTCTGGACTTTCGACACTCCCTATCCCACCAAGGCTTTGGGTGCTTGGGTAGCTTACCCGAGGTTTGTGGAATAGCAGCAAGAGCTGCATCAACAATGGCGGTAGTGATGATTTCATTTTCTTCTTCAATAGAGTGTGCTACAGGCAGGACAGAAGACGTTACACATTCCTGGAAAAGTTCCCAGTTTGCTATAGAAAGTTTCCATCGAGGAGGGCAACAGGGGAGAATAGGTGGTGGCTCTGTGGGGATGAGACGGACAGGGAAGCGGTCACTGCCACGTGGGTTGTTCAGGACAGTCCAGGTAAAATTTGTAAACATGGATGAAGGAACAATGGATAGGTCAATGCAGGAAAAGGAGTGGTGAGTTGAGCTGAAATATGTGGCCTCACCAGTATTTAGGAGACTGGCAGCTCTTCGGGAGAGAAACCTTTCTATAACAGATCCTCGGCTGTCGACCCGTTGACTTCCCCAGAGCGGATTGTGGGCATTAAAATCTCCTAGGAGAACATAGGGTTCTGGAAGCTGGTCTGCAAGGCGTTCAAGATCGGTCAGCGTCAGGGAAGATGAAGGGGGTATGTAGAGGGAGCATATGCTAACAGGGCGATCTAACATCAACCGTACTGCGACAGCCTCCAGAGAAGTGTTCAAAGAAATTTCAACAGCTGGTACCGTTCCGTCCACAACAATGGCAACTCCTCCGGAACTGCCAGACGTTGTTATGCGATCTTTGCGAAAGACTTGAAATGATCGCAGGAAATTACTATTCGATGGTCCCAAATATGTCTCCTGGAGACATACTGCAGAGGGTGTGTACTCCTGAAGCAAGGAGTAAACATCATCCAGGTTGTGAAAAAGTCCTCTGCAATTCCACTGTAAAAAGCCTCCTGCCATAAAAATGTGCTAAGCTAAAAGGGGCGTTAGGAATGTGGACCAAATTTTAAAATCGCTAAAACTGAATAATAAAATTAATATTAAAAAGCAAGTTTATTCTGATCTCAAAATATTTATCACAATGCAATACACATAAAAAAGTAGACAGTGTGAAATTGGAGAGCTCCAGAATTAAAATATATGGGGTATATACATGAAGAAAAATGCATGGGGTGAAATTAAATGCCTTGGGTAGAGGGTTCATTTCGGAGGCTTAACAGGCGTTTTTGCTTTGTTCTTGGGTTTTGGGGTCGGCCAATCCGTGTCTTCGAAGTCAGACAGGTTTGTGGATGGATCAGCAGCCTCAGCTGCTACTTCCATCTCCCTAGTTTCGCAGGCAGGTTTGCCTGCAGGCTTCGGTTGATCGGGTGTTCGAGAGGGCGGTTGCCGCCCTCGGCCCGATCCACAGGGAGGAGTGGAGGAGGAGCTGGGCAAATTGTCCTGCTCCATCGGTTCCACTCCATTAGAGCCAGGGGCGGTGCGAGAGTCGCGCCGCTCCCTAGAAGAAAAGCCCCTCCCAAGCGAGTTGGAGCGAGGGCTTCGCTCCTTCTCCCTCAGGGAGGGTCCAGGAGGGATAGTGGGCACGGCTGCCGCCGTCCCACCCTGCGAGAGGGCAGCTTGCGTGCTCCCTCGAGGTGTCTGAGGGGGCAGCTGCCTGCGTTCAGGAGTTGGGGCCTTGAGGGCCACTGCCAGCATCTCTGGCGAGACCTGGGTGGCCCTCGACTCCGAGCGTGGTGCAGGGCCCCTGCGCACCACCTCAGCATAGCCTCCCTTTGAGAGAAACGACAACCTTTTTTTAGCCTCAGGATATGAGATATTTTCCTTGGCTTTTAGTGAAAGAATTTCTTTTTCTTGTTTCCACAGAGGGCAGGTGCGAGAGTAGGCTGGGTGTGGTCCACTGCAGTTACTGCAGCGGGCCACTGCGTCGCAGATGTCAGCGACGTGGTCCTGCCCTCCGCACTTCGCACAAGTCTCTTTTCCTCTGCAACTCCGTGAACTGTGGCCAAATCGTTGGCAGCGGAAACATGGTTGCGGGTTGGGGATGTAGGGACGAATGCGGCAGTTCAGGTAGCCTGCTTGGATTGTTGCGGGAAGAGCATGTTTCTCAAAGGTCAGGATGACGTGTCTTGATGGGGTTTCTCTGCCATCTTTTCGAAACATTATGCGTTTTGCGGCGACAACACCGGCGCCTTTAAGTCCTTCAAGGAGTTCTTCTTCACTTGTTTCCAGAAGGTCGTCCTCGGAAAGAGCTCCACGGATGGTGTTGAGTGTGCGGTGAGGACTCACCGACACTTTCACATCTACAATGTTTGTGAGCTTACATAATGCTTCGCTATGAAGTTTTGTATCCACCTCAACAAGGAGGTCTCCAGAGTGCAGTTTCTTGGCCTTATACGAGAACCCGATAAGGTGTTCCAGAACCTTCGACACAATAAAAGGAGATATCTTTGCAACGGGTTTTTGTTCATCTAAAGAATGAACAACAAAGAACTTGGTAAAGTTTTCCACAGGAGGGTCTTTTTCGATGGTTTTGTGCTCAAGGCAGCGCCTTTTCCAGGGCTGTCGTAGCTGGGTTTAGGAGGAGGGGCAGCCATAAGAGGCGGAGAGTGTTCAGAACCTGTGGTGTGCCGCCCACCACGGAGCCCAACAAGGGAATAGTTAACGGACCATAACAAAGAGGGCTTTGCTGGAACTGTTAGACTATTAGCACTGCCCAGGTACTATAACCAAGTGTGGTTTTGGACAAGGAATCTGTCGCCACCCAAGGTTAGCCCTTGCCACCAAAGGGGTTGAAAAAGGAAAGAAGAGAAATGAGAAGAGTGAAAAGTATGAGAAGACAAGGGCGAAAGAAGGGAGGGGATAGTAGAAGTGGCGACTAGGCTGAATCATCCTGGTCGGGCCAAGCCAGGACTCCCGTCTACGGGAAGCGGGGGCCGAAGTGGTGTATTGCCTGGCCCGGGGGGCCCCGAAGGGTCCAAACCTACCCCGGGCTCGGCTCAACCACCAGGATGCCCTTTTCCCCGGACACGGGAAAGCCACGCACAGCCAGACGTGGGCGGGCGAACCCGCATGGCTCGGGGTCCGTGGAGACGCCACTCTCCAAACACCTGCTTTCACATGTGCCCCCTGCGGGGACCGAGGCCGCAAGGAGCCTCGTGGAAAACTTCCCAACTCTGAAGGACACCACAGGATCTGGATTTGTGAGTAACTAGATGCAATTTCACTTGAATTATTAGCCTGCACTCATTTAAACAGATCTGTACAAAGAACTCACCAAACACTTAAAGAAGCCAGGACATTAAAATTACACAAGTTTGATTATTTGATATGACATCTCCAAATGCTGTTTGATCTATACACCAAGCCAGGGTGCTGGGGGTCCCCATCTAAGAGTGCATGCAAGGGATCTCGCCGCTAGGAAATGGCTATACACCACGTGCGGGACCTAGAAGGGGCGCTTTGAAAACCGCATGCAGCGCCACTTGCGCTGCGGCTGGAGGCAGTACTGAGAGTCGTAGCAGAAGACTTCGGCTCTTTGTTTCGGAAGCTATGGCGGCGCAAGTGCCCGTGGTTGGAGCATTTGTCCTTCGAGCTGGTTTTAAAGATGTTATAATGGGATAGTTCTTTTGCGATACCACACGAAGAAAGGCGAAAAGCTTAATTAAAGCAGGCACGTTTTCGACGTGAACAAAGGGTTTGCTATCGCGACGTCTGTCTTAAAGGGCCACTGGCACATCAAAATCATATTTTTTTTTTATTATCCGAAACAATTGAAAATGATGCCGGGAGAATACACTCATAATTCGAAACTTGGGAATTCAGTATTTGTGAAGTAAAAAAACAATTTCCAAATGAAGGACTAGAAGTTCCCGCGCGATCCGCGCCAGTGCGTTGACGTCAAATATTGCGGAGTCCTGAGAGTCCACTTTCTTTCACAACTCCGTGCTGTTGCCATCGCGACCCAAAGCGAGGAGGAAAGGAGCGAGCGCCGGCGGTTTTGAGTGGTGTCGCCTGCTTTCCGTGGGAGGATACAAATCCAGGAGGCGGCACCACAACGGACTCCGATTTTCAGTATTTCAAAAAGAAGGGCCGGAGTGCGTTCGCAATTGCGTTAAAAAACATGTTTTACGATTGCTGTTATTAAATGTTATACAAACGTCGTCTACAAAGCTTCTATATTTCATGATTATTGACGTCAAGAATCAAAAGAAGCGAGGAGGGCGCCAAAAATAAAAAGGAGCGCGGGCAGAAAAAAAAATTTTTTGCGGTGCGTTTTTTTTTTTTTTTCGCATCTTTGATTACAACGTGCATCGTTTTAGACGAGAAAGAAAATACGACCCTTGGGGTGTCTGTGCCCCTTTAAGGTCAATTGTGTGCGTCAGGCGTGCGTCTCGCAAGAAGCTTACTTCATAACGATTGAGTTATAGCCCCTTCCCCTTGTAAACCCGGAGCGCTCGCAGATTCAGAACTTCGAGCATCTAGTCGCGGCGAGCTAGCACAGAGCGAGCAATCTCAGCGGCACACGCAGCAGCCAAGTGGAGAGGTCTGTCCAGCGTCGCCGTCATTGCCTGCCTCGCTGCCGGTCGAGACCTCCGACGCTCAGATGCCCCGCGATCAGAAAGCCGTCCCGGGTGGGGGCGGTTTTATCCGAAATGAAAAACATAACGCTTGGTTCTATAGCCTTTGACTCTTCCCACGGAATATTAACCAAGGATTCCCAGCGCTCCCGTGTACGTATACACGCATGTTGATTCCAGCTTCAGCTACTTGGCGCGAACGTCACCACAAACTGCGGTCGGCATCGTCGGCACCGCTTAGTCGATGTTCAAACAGCTTGTAAAAAGGATGCATCCAACTGACGTTGTCATGTCGAGAAGTGCTGCTACCGTAACTGGCGCAATCGCTGTCGTGTAGCTGCGACAGAAACGGCATAGAAATCAAAACCGACGTATTCTGAGTGACTGCAGATCGAACTTTATGCGTGCGGGCCTATGCGTCGCCGCTACATAGCGAACACCCCCCAACCGCTCGGTGCACTCCACCGTTTTCGGGCAGAGCGGTTCGAGCCGCTCGGCGAGCGCCCGACCGCCTCCAGGTCTGCAAGTGGCACAGACACACATCGCTTGCTATTTGCAAGGGGCACAGGAATCCACTCGGCAAGCGCGCCGGGCGCTCCGGATTTGCAAGGGGAAGGGGCTATTAGGTTCTCACGCTATCATGCTCAGAAAGTGATTGGTGCTTACACAGTACCTGTGTACTTGCAAAACATTAAATCCTTTTAGATTTACCGATGGCCCAGATGCAACCGTGGCGTTCCTATGTTGCGGCTTCGGGTCATGACGATTCGCAGCAAAGTCGCTGCGTCTCACGCAATGCTTCGCTTAAATTTGTCGCTGCGGTGTAACAATCACTTTCTTTGTTTATCTTGCTTGCCAAAACATAAGCCTGATTCACACATGCATGTTCAAAGCGACTACGAACAACAAAAATTGGCTGGAGTGACGAGCCTAGCAATGCTCCAAGCTCGTCATTCCGGTCGTTTGTACTAGCGGTCGGTCCGAATGTGCATGTGTGAATTAGGCTTTGAACTTTGGCATGCACTTCTATCATTACAGGGTTCGCACAGTGTACTTATGCGGGCCGCAAAGCCGGACTTCGTTTTTTTTCCTGCAGGCCCTGTAGTTTTAATGGCCCAGCTACTCTTCGTCGTACCTTGATTCTACCAAGTGCTCGTAGCGCTGCGGTGCCGCAAAGTTTGTTTATGTAATTAATATCCTAGATAACTCAATTCACTTTTTAATGGTCCGAACAAATAAAATAAACAGATCCTGCACAGCTCTGGCTGTCCTCGCATTGTATTCCCAAATTTTGTAAATCTGGCATTTTTATATTGAGAAAGCTCAAGGGTAGACTCATTACAATGTTCTCTAAATTTTGTTGAGTATTAAATTTTCTTGCATGCATGTTTCTTTCCTCTTCAGCTAGACGTCAGCAGGAACATCACGCAAACTCACTGCACTTGTAGAGGTGATGTCTCAGGGCAGTGTAAGCATTCAGAAGCAGTGATTATGTATCACTGCTGCTGAATGCTTTCACGTATTCAGCAGCGCGGATTACGGTCATACGACGAATTCTTTCATTGCATTTCCCCAAAAACAGTGTACTGTTGTCGCTGCTCGACGCAGACGAGTTGAGAAACCGTGAAACGTCGTCTCCTTGGGGCACGACGTGTACCTGTTGGTACAACCGACCACGCAGCAAATCATGATACCCATTAACAGCCCGTTAACGACGCAGTGGCGGCTTCGCGGCGGCAGAATTGGTATGGCAACGATAGCGGCACAACAAGGTTTTCCCCTTTACTCGGATTCTCCGAGCCTATCTTCTCTGACGGCTGCGTGGCGGCGCACCAGCCGCCGTGCATGGAGTGTATGGACGTTTAAGGGATGGGGGAAGGTTCCACGCTTTCAAACATGGTGGCCTCAGTAAATGGGCGGAGATGGGTTCTGCGGCTGAATCAAATTTGTTGATGAAACTATCGCGTTTACAAAACAAAGTTAGAAGATATGTAATAACGTCAAGTGGGTTTTAGTGGCATTGTTTTATGCAAATGGTCTTTATTAGCTTGGTTAGGTGAAGTCCTCTTATTCAGTGTGTTGCTAGAATGTGATATTATGGTAGATATGTTTCCTAATACATGCCCATGTGAGATGTGATGTGCTGTACACAAGAGATACCATTTTGCCAGCATTATTTTTAAACAAGCTCTCTGAAATACTTTTTTTTGCTGGTACATGCAGGACTCCTGGCGCGTTGCCATGCGATATAAAGCAAAACGTGAACGGTCAAAGCTGCGGATCCAGGACAACACTGAAAACCAGGCTTCACCGCGGAAGCAGCCGCGGGCATCGAGGGACCCTAAGCCAAAGCGGGTGACAAGGCCCGGGCCAGTAGGAGAGATTGTTTCACGGAGACTCTTTTGTATTTTAATGGGGCACTTTAAGTGCTTTCTTGAGATCCTCGTTTTATGGTCACGAAGGTACGAGAAGCACACCAAAATGTCTAAAATTACTAACATGTGCGGCCAATTTGCATATTAAAAAAAGTGATCAAAGATCCTGACACTTACCGTTGACACAGAATGACTGACGGCGCTCGTCAGCTACTCGCAAGTGATGGATTCCCACGTGGAGTCATGACCATAAAACGAGGTTTTAAAAAGCACTTTAGCGCCCCTTTAAGAATTGGTAAGCCTTGATACTAATTTTTTTACTTTTGTGTAATATATTTCAGAACATAGTGCTGCCAGCACATGGAGAGGATGAAGAAAGCCTACAGGGCCATATCATCAACATGGAAAAAGAACTGCGAAAAGCAAATCCAAATGTCGCCTATGTTTCCGACTCCATGTCGAGGACACTTACTACACGGCGGGCATGGATAACCACTGATCACCCAAGTGTGACAGCAATTGTGGCGAAATTCTCTGCTTCTGAACATGGCAGTTTTGTAAGTATTATTGAAGGTAGGATTTTAAAGGGGCTGTGCAACGATTTTAACATTAAAAAGAGTTCTTAGTTTGTCATTTTTAGATTGTTTACCTCGTGAAGTGATAGAAGACGCTTCTCTTTCCTCGGAAATAATGCCATACCTTTGAGGAATCGGAAAATGAAAACAGACTATTTCTCTATCTGCATTCGCAACATGGCGGCAGTGTAAAACATGGAGCACTGTGTTACTGAGGGATGATGTTATAAGTTTCCTCTCTGGCACCATCTCCTTGTGTTGACTAAAACCATGCTCTACACTCTTTTGCCTGTCGTGCGACCTTGGCAGGTATTCTCCTCACTTTTGACGTCAGTGGTGCTCGTATCTTACTTGCGTCACTACCACGGGAACCGGACGTCTCCTCGAAATTAAAAAGGCATTGTACATTTCAATTTTTTTAATGAAAATTTGGGCTTGTATGAAAAAACAGTTTTTTTGTTTTCTATTCTAGAGATAGTAAAGACTAACTCCCATGCTTAACGTCCCAAAGTCCGAAAATTGTTGCACAGACCCTTTAAAACGGCACTGAAATGCGTTTTTTTTTTTTTTTTTTTTTGGGGGGGGGGGGGGGGGGGGGTGTAATAACTAGGGTTCGGTGTTTTCAGTTCAAACCGATAGAAGTATGCCGAATTCATTTTCGGAGATTCGGTTTGAACAGTAAAAGGTCAGTATTTGAGTGTAGTATCGCGGGCCTAGTGGGGTGGAGGCTTCACCGGCTAACATTGCTGAAGGGGAGTTTGGGCATGTTTTGTGGATGAAATTTGTGTTGTTCGTGATCCAGTCTTCCTGCGTCAAGTTTGCTCTTGTCCTCTCAAGATGGGGTCTCAACTGCTGGCATTGTATTTTATTCCTTTGATTTTTTCTCAAGGAGAGAGGGGTCAGGTCGCCTTGTCTGATCTGAATCAGGTTGTACTGTAGGGGACACCGTAAAAAAAAACCCACCCACACTACTAAATTGAAAATACAGCAACAGATAAAACAGTTAAGTGCCTAATGTACTGCACTTTGGATGGACAAGCATAAGAAGAGTGTATTTCATCATTACATATTCGTCGACAAAAACCGGTTAACTTGCATCTGTATATATGAAAACCGAAAACATCATTTAGAAAAAAAAAATGTATGCCGAATTTCAGAGGAAAAAAACAACCGAAAACGCAGAACCCGGATCATAACTTAATATACAAGAAGCATTCTTAAAACCCGCAATTACATTCATGCGTGGCCGATTGCCTTATTAATAAAGTCATCAAAAATTGCGAGTTACCGTTGTTGGAGACAGACACATGGTGCTCCAAAACCTTGCTGAATATGGTTGAACGACGGACAACCCGCACGAAAATGTCAGATTCAGGCCGCAATGAAAAATGCCGGTTCCGCCTAGACCCCAAATTGGGGCACCAGTTTGTATCCAGCCTGAAACCGCGCATTTCCAGCCCTAATTTTAAACCCAGGCGGTGCACCGCCGGAATTCCCGCTGCGCTCCCCACTGGACTCTACAAAAGAATTTCGTGTTATGCCCTTAGCCGTTACAACCGAGAGACCGTCGCGATTTGAGACCCAGGCGGACTGGGTCTGAAATCGCGACAATTTCTCCCTTGTAACAGCTAAGGGCATCGCACGAAAGACTTCTGTAGAGTCCAGTGGTGAGCGCAGCGGTAATTATGGTGGCGCACACGGTCGTCCAGGCGTCGTCGCGTTGTCATTAAACAGTGCACGGAACACACACAGCACGCACAAGCACAGTATCCAGTGTTGAGTGCGTCGGGAAGTTCCGGCGGGCAAGCGGTATCCGAGTTGTCCAAGTATTGTCACCAAGCACACCAGCGCATCCATATGCCGAGCCAAAGTGCAATGGGTCGGCAGCTTCACACTATATAAAGATTCAAAGCTGAGGTCAGTGGGTATCCATCCAGGGCAACGATGGGCGCGTCAGTATCCGTGCACCCGCAGCGCGAACGTCACCGCCGGCCGGCAGTCCGACGGGAGCGGAGAAGAACCGAAACTGTCGAAGCGCTGCCGCTGACTGCAACAGACAATGAACGCAAGGCGCGCGTCGTCACCAAACACGGTGCACGGAACACACACACACAGCACGCACAAGCACAGTATCCAGTGTTGGAGTGCATCGGGAAGTTCTGGCGGGCAAGCGGTATCCGAGTTGACCAAGTATTGCCACCAAGCACACCAGCGCCAAGCGCATCCAGATGCCGAGCCAAAGTGGAATGGGTCGGCAGCTTCACACTAAATAAAGATGCAAAGCCGAGGTCAGTGGGTATCCATCCAGGGCAACGATGGGCGCGTCAGTATCCGTGCGCCCGCAGCGCGAACGTCGCAGCCCGTCGAGCGCCGACCGACCGTGCGACGAGCGCGAAGAACAAAACTAAACCAACCCCCGGACATTTTCCATAGGGCCAATGGAGTCGAATTTTGTACAGCAGCGCCGAATTCCTCGTCCGTGGTGGGGGGCTCTCATTACTTGAACGAGTTAACTTATTATTTTATATTCGGTAAATTGTAAAATTATATTAAGAGCTAACCATGCTATTAATAAAATATCTGGCTTACTTTTCAAAACGACTTCTATATACACGTTTGGGACGTAGTAGCCTACTTTGAAGCCGTTTCTAAGCCAAGCCGTAAAAAATCCAACATGGCGCCTCTTTATTTTTGTAGGGTGGTTCTCGTATAGATCGCTTCGTGGTCGTGCTGGAGCCTGGATTCAGGCTCCTGAGCATCACGCCCGGTCCCGGTAGTGTAATAATAGGGAGTTTTCGTAGATCGTTTCCGCTATCCCGCAACGCTCTCCGCAACCAGATACGCTAGCCGGAACTCCACAGTCAAGGCCATCGGCGCGCCGGCGCAGTAGCGGCTGCTTCGTTGCGGAGGGCTTAGCGGAGGGCGAAACGCGGTCTACGAAAACTCCCTAATAGGGACTTTTAACAAACCGCGTTCCGCGTACCGCACTATCGGAGCCTTTGAAGCATGCTTTTAACTGCGCGCCCCGCTGTCACGGTATCACCCGGGTGCGCGCCTATAAAGCATGTTTCAAAGGCTCCTATAGTGCAGTACGCGGAACACGGTCACAGTTCGCTAAAAGTCCCTAACGTAATATACGATGTCCGATTTCGCTTTCAGCTGTATAAGGTGCGTAGTCATGTGTGTTCGTTGTTCTCCTGTTTCGAGGCGTCCCGCCGCCCAGTAAGGAATCCAGAGCTGCGACCAAAATATTTCGAGGCACGTTTATTGCACAGATGCTAAAACGGAATTAAGTACAGCACTGCACCTGCATACGCGCAAAAATAAAACATTGACAAAATCATTTCGTCAACCTCGCTCACAAGCTCCAGTTTCACATCGCCAGCACCTCTCTGTCATCTGTGCACGATCTCATCACTTCATTATTACATGCGGCGCCGCACACCTTGGGAATGGGCTTTATCACTAATTTTATCACTATCACTTCTTAAGAATGGTCACTAACATATATCTTTACAAGTGTACACATTGACCCAAATAATTAGGCATTCAACATGCCAAGTTGGATCAGCTGTTCACCGAAAGTAAAGTTGTTCACTGATTTAAGAAATATAAGCCACTTAGGTGGCCCCCAGCAATCATTAGCTTCATTTTTACATATTCAAAGCTTCTCACGCGAGCAAGATGAAAATGTGAAATAAAGCTTCGAAAAATGTTGGCACTCAACAGGCTGTATAACTGGTTGGGAACCACGAAGTGTCCGAAGCTTTCTTCCTCCTTGAGAGAACGTTCAAATGCTCGTTCCATATGTCCCAGCATCTGTAATGACAATGTGGTCATGATGTTTAAAATTTTAAACTGATTTAAAACAAATGTCTATCTACAGAGAACAAACTAATGACATAATGCCGTTGTCGCACCCGGAACCATGCATAAATAAATGAAACTTCAAATTCATATATAGGAAGCCTCATTCTTTTTATTATCCTCCGTCTGTTCGAGGACCGCCAAAGACCATTTTGAAGATTAAACCCAATTGTTACACTTTAAACAAGCAGTTGTGCACAAATCGAAGTGGGGCTAAGTGTATACCATTAACTTCATTAAAACCGTACTTGTTCAGGGGAAAGCATATGTTTTTACTGCGAGAACGAGCCTGCAAACTAGCAGCTATGGGCAGCAAAAGTTTAATGGTAAGTTCGCTGAGCAAATAAAACTGAGTACGGGAGATACATACTCACCTGCCTTTTCTTGAAAAAAAAAATGAACCAACAAAAACTTGTGGTCTTGGCATTATCGCTGTTCGTGCACCATCGGGATATGTTCACGTAAAATGCACATCTCAACAGTCTCTGAAAGATCGCACCAAAATATCCATCGAGTTCGACGGGCGCGCGGAACGCCGGAGAGCGAAACCCTAGCGAAACCACGCTCGCACGACCCTTGGATAAACAAAACCACGCGACGCCGCCAACGCCGCCGTCCAACGTTACGAAGTTTCAAATTTGGGCGAGGGTAGAACGAGGGGAGGGGGGGAGGGGGGGGAGTTTTGTTTTTAGACCGAAAACAGAACGAACAGAAAGAAATATATAAAATAAATTGCATTTTATTTTCATGGTGCGGTGAAGACATTTTGTTGAAATTACTGTTAGCGAACAAAGTTCCATATTTGTATTTTTGTATTAATGAGAGCCCCCCACCACCCAAGCGCTGCTGCCGGTGGCGAGGCTATACACAGCGCCGCTGATGGTGGCGACACTAATGTCAGCGCCG